GGGGAGTAACGCGTTCACCACCACACCATGCGGGTCCTTTGCTTCGCCTGTCTCTCAGCTACTTCTACCGATCTTTGCCACAGCAATCACCCGTCAGCGGGATTGATCTGGGGCGCCCAAATCGGCATAGAACCCAGGAGTTCGTTCCCCACCATAGACACCTGCGGTCCAGAGTTTTGCAAATATCTCAGCAACGTTGTGGTTTTATTTCGCTTAGTACCCTGCAGCGAAATTATAGTAGGCAGAAAATAAAAAGGTATAACATCTTCGTATATTTGTTGAGTAAATGCGAGGTATTATTTTTATTCTTTATTGACGAAGAAACGAGTGTTTCGTCGTATTTCGCCTTCCTCAGAGCCTGGAAAGGTCAAGTTGACAGCAATCTATTCAGTCAAACACCTCCATAAGCAAACAAAGAAAACATTAAACCAAGATTTCAATAACATTGAACACAGCTCTTCACACTCACCGCTTTCTATGAGTCTTCCACTGAGTATGTCGCGTGAAGACCGACCGCACAGAATTCACATGGAAGCGTAATGTGCCCCTCCCATCAGAATAACAGGTTTATATACTGTCCAATATCACGCGTGATAATGAGGCATTCTTTCCTACGGTTCATTTTCGGATTTCTGGAATTAATCCAGAACGCCTTGAGAGTTTTGCGCGCTTGTGTTCTTGATTCCTGGGCGAGCATCGTGACACGTGCTTCAAAGTCCTCCCCGTTTATGTCTCTGGGTCCTATGCGTGCCTAGTAGGGTATTTAGCTGACGTTTTCCGGCTTGGCGTTTTTTTATGATATGAATTTATGAATTACTTGATTAATGCCGAAGTTAATAAAATGTCGGTCGTGGGAGTCACACTTCGAATCTTAATTAATTTTTGAGTTACCCAACTTTGAGAACGGAACGATGTATCGTTTAACACTAGCTACACTTTTTATATTTGTAACAATAATAGGAGCATGCTATTGTAATTGTGATTAGCACAATTCAAGCCTACTGAACGCTACCAATCAGGAACCCGTGAGTGACAACGATGCTGGTTTCACCGCTCGGTTCTGGCTTACAAAATGTCGAGAAAACCCACGACTACGAAGCCAGTGGACATATGCTCGTACGAGTTGAGCAATACGAAAACTACTCCTATTACGAAGTTCCACATTACGGAGGATACTCGTATGACTAAGCGCCAAGTGGACAGATGTCCCCGCAGAAAGCCCAACAGTAAGGAGATCCCACCTATTACCAACTGCAGTCACTTTCTGGAGGTAATTGAATGCATATTTGGCTTTTGCAATGACTCGCTGTGGCCCACCGACGTATAGAGCCAGTGATGTTATCCTTCAAGACAAGTCCAGTGCCAATTTCCCGACCATGGAGGGACGGAAGGCTTGGCGAGGCAGGGAGGCGGAAATCGATTCCATATGTATTGCACAGCATCTCCGACCACTGGGCGACATGCGCCCACTATTAAATGGTGCGATAGAGAGCAATTTCCAATAGCTATGAAACGTTATCTCTTAGAGATAGGTCCAGAAAAAGAATTATGCCCCAGAGAGCAGTTCTTGCAAAAATAAGTTTCTACTTATCCAGGATTTCATTACCAGCGAAATATGTGCAGCGGTAAAACGCTGCTTAGAAAGCGCCCGTTTGGACTCTAGTTGGACTCTAGGACTCTAGACACCAGCTAGTTTGCAACCGCCAATATGATCGTCTGTGAAGAACGCCAAATTGCATAATATTCTCTGACGGTAAAGACGGTGGTTCCATAAGTTCGGATACCATGTACTTACTCTCTTGTGAAGCGTGTGGAGATGAATACATTGTCAAAAAGGATGGACCATTGTGCTTCCGTATTGTAAAAAAAAACACCTACTGGGTAGAATTAGAGTTAAAGCAAATGCATCACTAAAGGCTCATAAGGCACAGAGACTTAAAGGAGAATATTTTGATGTAACAGTCACTATTCTCGCACAAAAGTTCAAAACAACAGCGCATAAAACTCTAAAATAAATTCCAAAAATCCAAAGGTGAACCACAAGAAGCAGTGCCTTCTAATCACGTGTGACCGAGCGCCATACCTCCGTATGATTTTTGATCTGATCCAGACACATTTCTCTCCCATGTAAGAGTCTGTGCGTCCAGTGTGGTGGACATCCAATGTTCGAGATAATATTAGGGAGAGTGCAGTGTATACATATATATGAATATCTATACATATACGTATATATATGCATATGTTTTTACATGTATCAGTTTTTCCGTTGATTACTGAGGCTTTGGTCAGTGAAAGTGGATCATTTTAATAATTCACTGCGTTTCCTGACGGATAAACCCGAGATCGTTATAGCAGAGTTCCTTCTTTGATAAGCTTACACGAGGTTCATAAATACACTTTATTCGGCTAAGGTTTGGACGTTTTCATCAACAGAGCCGATGATCCCAGTCGATGGTCCACAGTGGTTCGTCTTCTCTGTGTGGCGTCTTCGTCTTCGTATCGAGTTCAGTTTTATTCAGTGGATCATCTCTCTCGGATGAGTGATACTTATCTAACAATGCTCTTTTGTACAGAATGCTGATGTTGAAAGCAGTGATTGTGTGACGATAACAACTTGTTTCTTTTCTCGAAAGTTCATCCTGCGAAAGTCGGCTTAACCACTAGCTAACAAAGAGCATAACATTATCTTAAAACCGAATTTCCTACAGCCTTTCTATGACTAATCAACATGTTTTCTTTCTTTGAAAGAATGAGTATATGTTGAGTAGTCGTACCGCTGTGAAGGAGAAGTCAGTTTTGAAATATTGTTATAATAGTATTTATTATTTCACAATAGCTGACGTTTCGGCGGTTTTCGCATTCCTCAGAACCTCGAAAGGTCAAATTGACATGTAATCTAGTCCGCCAAGCACTTTCGTAACCTCAGCATATAAACCATAAATTTTTATCCTCAAAATAAACAGCTTCCTTAAAAACCTAATCGTTTTCGAAGGGTGCTCCACTTCGTCGCCGCTATTGAGTGGATGTGGTCAAGTACAATGAATCTTTTTCGAAACCATGCTTGCTCACATGGCTGCCCTTCGTCCAGTGTTCTGCCAATCCTGTTTAGGATCACTCGAGTGAAAAGTTTGCAGACTACAAACAGCAAGCAGATTGGGTGATCGTTGCCGATATCGTGGAAGTCACCCTTCTTGAGCAATAGCACAGTCTTGGTGGTCTTCAATTGAAAAGGAACCTTGAATTTAGATGGGTGACGTGTGAGGAAGTGAGCCACTGTGTTGATGAGGACGGGAGTTCATTTGAAGGTAAGAGAACGCAGCTAATGAAGACATCGAAGTAGTAGTCGTGGGTGATTTTCGTTATTACATTTCTGTTAGCCGTTCTGTTTTGTGTGGGCAGCAGGCTCATCAGTTATTCCTGCTTTTGTTTCTCTAAGATCTTCATCGTCTTAATGCAGAGCTTTGCAAATCGGGAGTAAGTCGAACAGTCCCACTCGTAACAGCACGGCTCTGACGAAGGCGAAACTACCGAAACGTCAGCCATCGACCATCGACACCAACAACAACGACAACAACAACGACAACGACAACGAAGACCTATAGCAGCCTCGTATTAACCCAGCCAAATCAGCTTGTAAGATCATACAATACGTCCTATACCTCGCAGTCAAGTTGCAGGCATTTACCCTCGTTCATTTAAACATACGTTTAAGCATTACATATAGCACACATACATAGGTACATAGCATACATTTAAGCACAATATAAGCTACTTAAACAAGACTGCGCCTACGCACGCATACAAGAAAATGTACACTTAAACACACACGTCATGTTTCAAATCGGTTCAGCAGAAATGGGTTGTCTCTCATTTAGATGTTTATTTGAGTTTCAGAGAAACACAAGGTCGCTTTTCATCCGCCTTTCACCTTCTTGTCACAACGTGGTAGTGGGCCAAATAGACTCACAACCAAGCGGTTGGGATTGAGGGAGATCCGTAATCCGTATCATTTGCTTATATATATATATATATACATATATAAGTGCAAATCTCTTTTTCAGCAAGTAGTTAGTTTCAGACAGAGACAGCATTCGAGTGACATGAAAGCTTGCGGTACTAAAGGTGGTTTCTCTCTGTGAGCAGACATGATTTTCTGTGTACTCACGTATAGTGTATTTATTGCGGTATAAACGTAAATAACGTTTCATATTCACATTTTCTAGGAACTCTGTCTCCGTAGTCATGTATTAAGACGAAGACTTGTCTTTCGCCTAAAAAAACGCTTCTGGGTGTGCAAAAACATCAAACTTGAAAGTATTATGTTTATTAAATCAAAGGAAATCAACATCGATGAGCCGGGCACGTAATGAGAAGAGAAGCGGATAGGTGGACAATAACGTCAAAGGGGATCTTGAAAGAGTCAAAACGAACTCGAATGTAAGAACACAAAGTAGTCCGACGTGTTATTTCAACTAGTAAGGAAACTGCCTTCTTTGTGAAGAGCAATTTTTCTATGATAAAAACGAACGGACGCACAAACCCGACTAGCTCGTGGATTGGAGTAAACAACTGAAAATGAAATGTAAAAGTTCCTCTATGAAAGGAATGATATTCGAAAACCGTCCTGTTTGTTATCTAAGTGTTGAAGGAGAACTGTTGTACGAGGAATGTTGGCGTTGTCAACCTTCAGTTTTTCTGCTTTATTTGGTCAGCGGAGTAAGCATAAGGCTCTAAAAAATAAAGATTAGAAGGCTCTAACAAAATTACGTCGAAAACAAGCCGAAAATTTGCAGCTAACAATCTATACTATCTGCTTTATTCAATAAAATCAATTGCAACACGGTTTGTCTGGAGATCTCACAAATACTGAAAAATAAATTAGCGAATGAGGACGAACCACTGGATAGACAAATGACGAACCAACATTTGAATAACTAGTTTTGTCATTGTTTAGTTGACTATGATATTTTTAAACATCGTAGTTTTTAAAATGATTTATACTAACCAGGAGAAGCAGCGTAGTACGGAGGTGGTGAGACACGATAATACGGCTTAGGTGATTCTGGATAGTACGGCTTAGGTGGTTCTGGATAGTACGGCTTAGGTGGTTCTGGATAATACGGCTTAGGTGGTTCTGGATAATACGGCTTAGGTGGTTCTGGATAATATGGCTTAGGTGCTATAGGATAATATGGTTTGGGTGCTACGTAACCATCACATAACGTTGGTCGAGGGGGACTGAAAATCAAACATGAATTATTTAAGCATGAAAGTATTTGCTTGTTTTCAATATCTTAGCTACTTCGATAAAAATGCTTAAATCAACGAATTGATAGAAATCCGGCATTAAAGAGAAACTGACACACCATGCACATCCAAAGAGGAAAGCGTCCGTTGAGACGAGAAGGCAAACGGCAGTTACCACGAGAAGTTTCATAACGCCTGCCTATCAAAATAATGTTCGGCAAGTTTATAATTAACTTTGTAATCGATCATTCCAAACGTTTCAAACAATCAAGTGTATGATTAAATCTAAAATCCTTTAATACAAGCTACCTGGCTTTATAATAGTAAAAACTACCAGGAGCTGATCGGCAATATTCTGGTCAGATAAGAAGTTTGGATGGCCCATAAGTGCATATCTCCTGGTTTTTTTTATATAAAATGAAGCTTACGTTTATTGTAGTTGAGATGTTGAAAAGAGCACTTTGTTGAATGCCACACTGCTTTTTATATGACTGTTATATGATTCAGTTCGCATGAAACTTATCCCATGCGAGTTTTGAGATCGTGGTCGGTACACAATAGAAACCACAACTCCCTTAGAAGCGCTCGGTATCCGCTCTTACTCGAGCATAGTGGTGTGCCACCGTAGCTACACCCTTAACGGAGGCGGAACTTCAACCAAAAGTACAAAACGATGTTTCAAAAGTCCAATACTTTCGTATAACTAAACCACTACTTCCGCTCTTTTTTTGAAGTTATTACTGAGCAACTTCCATTTCTCATCACTCTCTATCAGTACTGATGTATTATCTCAAAGTCCCTTCAGCCTTCTTTTCGATTTTAACCATAGAGGTTTTTCTGCGACAGTACGTGTATGTGCCATTTGAGGTCAGGTGTGGAAAACTTGTTAGGCTCGGTGACATCCAGTTCGTCACCGCCTGATAGCAGTTCTGGTTATCGCTTTCTCTTTCAACACCCCTAAATTCTAACACCTTGCCATTTTTTCCTTCTTAATATATCCACGAGGTGCGTTTCTCCTTACATTGTCAAATACCACGGTGGGAAGACAAATATTTTGGCTTATTAATAAGCTTACAGAATATTATTAGACAACTTTGCTTTGGATAACCTTTCTGCATAATCACCATATTCAGATCGACAATACTCGCACCCATTACCCACACCAGCGTTTTTTCTCTATATGTGAATCTTCGTGTGGAGCAGTGGTCGGAGGCGCCCCGCTATGGACACATGGCATCGGTGTCCGCTCCCGTGGCTCACCAACTCCTCCATCCCTCCGAGGTCGCCAAATTGGTACTAGACTTGTTTGGGAGGATAGCAGCACTGGCTCGATACATCGGTAGGCCACCGTAAGTCATTGTAAAGGCCAGATATGCATTCAGTCATCTCCAACGATGCTAAATGAAGTCGAATGTATGGGCCGTCCCACTGGGTTTGATTAACCCCGAGAGCTTTATTCTTTAATACTCTTTATGTGAATCTCCGCAGTGGCATCACTCCGAATCAAGTTGGGTTCAAAGTCAGATCAACATTCGTACTATAGCTTCGTGCTATCGAACCATCATTATTATAATATTATAATATATCAAATTGTTATTATAATATTTTCTGATTCAATAAAAGATTTTTATTTATGTGACCTCTCTTCACGTCTACTGCGCGGATCCCAACACTTGTAACACTCGATTCGCTTCTTCGCATCCATTGTCTACGAAGGTCTTCCAACGTTTACGTGTGGTTTCTGTTGCTGTTTGAGGATTTTCATTTCAACTGAGATAGCCGAGCTAGAACATTCCCACTTAGACTGCAGAGCGCGATTTTTTCCTGTGCAAATCCGGTACCAATTTTCTGACCCTGGAGGGATGAGAGGCTTCGTTGGCGCAGAGCCGAATCGAACTAGCACTTTACTAGTGATGACGGACATCACTCTCACTGTGCTATCTGTCTCCTTAAATAAAAATGATGTTAAGGATTAAATAAAATATTGCTTCCAAAAATATTACAGTCCTGCTTGTCATCTGTATTCGAGCTAACCTTATTCTTACTTTCAGATGATGCATTGCCACTACGAAACGGTCGAGAACCGTTCTACAGAAGAGAGCACTGTGGTTTACTTTTACTTCATTAATGACACGGCGATTTGCACTCGGTTTGAATCGATACGGCTATGTAGACCCAGACCTGTATCACAAGAATGAACGGTTGTTAACACTCGGGAAGAGCCCCAGAAACGCCACAGTAATATCTTAATAGTAACATCTCGCAAACCTTGAAAAGCAGACCAAAATGTTGGTTTTTGATGGCCACGTCAAGTAAGAATCGATAGGGCAGTTGTGAAAATAAAACCGTTGGACAAGCGACAACCGAACGACAATAGCCGATACCTTCATAGATTCTGGTTCAAAGCTCGTTGAACTGAGTAGAAATCCTTATCCAATAAATAATGGTGTAATTAATTGGAGCACAATAAATAGTAATAAAATGCTGATATATCTAGTCAAATTTTTTTGTTGAATCCTGCAACGGGGAAACGAGAGGGAAGGTCAGATTTGCATTGCACAATTTGGACAGCCATTGCTTTGATGAAGCCTTTTCAGTACGAAAAAGGAGAGAATATTAAGTATGGTAACAGTTCTTACGCAGCAATGACTTTGAAGAGCAGCGCTAAAGTACAGGAAAAGGAAAGGAATTATGGTCGACATTTATAGGTAGGTCACTTTCTAATATACCTTCTTTAATTATAAAGCTATGGTAAAAAAGAGTTATTCGGGGAATTCCCCGATATTGTGTTCACCTTCTTCAAACCCGGGTTGATACGAGTCGATGGCCCACAGGTGGTGTGGAGCTCGTGTGTGGTCGATGTCCCATCGAACCGAATTTGGCAATTTTTAACGCGTCCCTTATGAAAGACCTCTCTCGGCGGTACCCTTTTATCATTTGGGTGGTTCTCCAAGAGGACGCTTGCGTTCTCCTAATGTCTACTCCACTGCTCTTTCGACCATCTCTCATCTATTCTTCCTATTATATGACCAATCCATCTGTGTTTCGTTATCGAGGCATGTTCTTTTGGATCCCGAAAATGGCATAGATTTCGAGGATCTTAACTGCTCATTCCGCCTAGACGTTGTGAGCACAGGTTAAATTTCAGAAGTCATCGTTCCAGCGCTCTGTGAATGGTGCGCAGTATTCTTGACCTGGTTGAAGTATCAGTCCACGTCTCTGCTGCATAACAGAGTGCTGGAGGACCGTTGAATCGAAGAAGTTAGCGCTGAGATTTGTGCCCACTAGTTGACGATTTCCTTAAGACCCTCAAATGCGGCCCTTGCTGCTCTCCTTCTTCTGTCTAATTTCTCCTTCATACTGTTTTCCGAAGTTCATTGAAAGATTAAGGCACTTGTACGAGGTGGTTTCTGTAATCAGAGAACCATCCAGTTTGATGTGTTCACCTTCGCACCACAGGTTCACTCAGTTTTACCGGAGACATCTCGGAAATTCGGAATTCCTCGCCTTTGTGAGCCTTCTTGTGAAGAGTGCCAAAACGAAGTTGACTACATTGCTGTCAATATAAAGTGTTGTCTATTCGGTATCACTACTATCCTAAGGTTTTTTTTGTGTTCAGAACACCTCCTATTTCATCTAAAATCATTCTCTCCTAGAAAAGGTGGGAAAATTGCAATGTTCCCTAAGCAATAAACGTCACCTTGATTTACAACTCACTGATCGGCTTGTGGAAAAATGTTTTTAATGAAAATGTCGGTGAGAAATGTGGTCGGTTAGTTTAGTAACCCTACAAAAATAATAGGAAGGTTGAAAGTGTTTAACAATCATTAATATATGCATAATTTAGAAAACTACACATCACACAGAAATTTGGAATTAGACGAGAAGCTAACAGTTTAGCACAACGTCCGAGCTTGTAGCGCTCCAGTGAGAATCAGTGAAAGACAGGGAGGAAAACGAAGAAAAAAAATCGCAATATCTTTAGAACCTACGTAGGCTGGGGAGGGTATTCTAAACATGTGAGAGAATTCTGTGGCTATAAAACTCAGATCAGCAGACCTTGTTCTCATGACACGGAAAAGCAGTCAGTATATCACCCTGAACTGCTTGTTAAACAGTGCCAGCCCTTCTATACTCGTATCGAGGAATCTCTAAAGCACCCAACGAAGATGGAACACTTTTTTTTTGCAATTGATCTGCGTGTTTTCAGAATCCGAAATGCAATCTTGGCGATGAAATACAGGGCAACATCCGACCCCGACAGTTCCAGACAGACCAAAATATTCGGGAAACCTCTTACCAGTGAAAACACTCACATATGCTATTTCTCAAGTTTTAAAATAATAAGTGGGCAATGAGGGCGAGTGTGATTTAGTAAATAGAGGTTCGCTGCAAAACACGCTAAATCGGTCACTGTTCCTACCATGCATTGCCACCTGACTAAATCTGCCATCCTTCTCGGGTCGGCATATTGGCACAAGACACGTCTGCGATGTTAACTGACACTGGCTGAATACGTCAATTGGTCATCGAGAGTAACACTCCAAGCGAGAAATTCATTCATCAATCTCTAAAGATGCTTGAAAAAGGTGAATGCATGGCACATTCCTTAAGGATTGGTCAACGCCGAGCGCATTATTCTTCACCTTTAGAGGAGATGATGAAAAAGGCAAGAGTGCTTTCGTGTACAAATAGAGCATGGTATCGGTAATTGCAACCATACCTGCAGACTGTCTTTCATCTATAAGTTTCTTGGCTATCCGCTTGTTTAGAAATAAATTGTGGGAAGCACTCCCATTAAAGCAAGCGGAGTTCTAAAACATTTGGGTACTGTGGGCCACATCCGCAATAGCTATCAAAATTATTTGAATACTCTATGGGAAAAGTGAGAACTGAAGCCAGCCCTGATTTTCGCCCACTTAAAAAAGGACTTGGTTTATTGATTTCAACTGCAGCTTCATCTCCACTGTGTTCTATGTCGATTTGTGCTCCTCTGACCACTCGAGAATTGCGGATGGTTGTTGATACCTATGTTAAAGCTTAAAAAGCTGGCTGAAAAAAAAACAAAACAAGGACCTTAGTGCAGTGGATAACACGACCGCTCTCGGTAACGAAAATTCCGTGATCGAAGTGTAGCTGGAGTTCCGAGTTTTGCTTATATCTCAGCATTCTTGTGGAAGTATTTCACTT